ATGTAAGGTATTTTACGAGAATTTCCGGAATTAAATCAATTATATAAAACGAAATTACCAATTGTAACGCATTATGTAGTAAAATTGATGTCACAATTTGCGATATGAATTTAAATTTAATTAATAGGCACTGGTGTACTAGTGATCGTAAAAAGTGCATTAAGACATTGACGAATTTTATGGATAAATAAGTTTTATAACCGAAAATCACGCGACCTCTCGGCCTAAGTAAGTTTCAAGGCATAAGGTAATCAACGGTAATCCTGACGTTCGGAAACTCGTAGCTTCTATCAAAAATAGCTTCTTGCACGGAAAATATGCACACGGGCGCTCGATCAAAGCCCGAAGAGACAAACCAGCGGGCACGAGCTCAGCCTTTCAGCCGCGCAATCTCATTACGAAGAGTTAATTAATCTCGGGCTAACCGACTGTGTGGCTAACACACAGTGATAAGGTGCTTCGCCAGTGGTTGTGACTAATTGTCCAAGGACATCGAAGGGCCGAGATATATAATAACAATCGTCGGGGCCATTGGGACTGGGACGCCATTGGGGCGTAGTGATAAATTTCCTGGCTTCGATAATAATTCCTCGATAATAATTCTTCCATTCTATTGCCGTTTTATTAATTCGCTTGGTGAAGGGACGTCGTGGAGCGCCTTGGAATCAATGACAAATCATTTGAAATTTGAATTTATTTGCACCTCTAGATGTTCATCACGATTGATAATCACAATGCTCGTTAAGCGAGCCTATCGTCTCGTCTAATTATTTTATTAACAAGTCCTCTTATCGCGTTCCCTCTTTACGCTTACAAATTGATAATACAACTTGGTAGCGAGGACCATCGTTCCACCACCAGCTTCTCCATGGATCGACCGAGGCGACATCCCCGATCAATATTCTTGAAGCTCGATGATCTTACACCTCCGTTAGATAGGACTTTGTCATCGAATTGAGGGAACAATACAACAAACATTCGAGCACAACGACCGTCTCGTTCCTTCGATTTATCTCTGTCTCATTCTCAGTCTTACTCATCGTGGCCGTTGGACTAGGCGGCATGCACGAGAAGGTTATTTTCGGCCGTTGGGTTAAAATAGCTGAGCTTAAACTTCTGTTAGACACTTAAGAGCATCTAACGGGTCGTGAGGGAAGTGGGTCAGAAATCTGTCGGTGAGGACGCGCTTGTCGCCAATAACGGACTTGGGGGATCTATGGATCATCCTTATTTATTCGCGAATGATCCTTCGAGGCTCATCTCCTACTAATTTCTATTGTTCTGAATTGCACATTTTTTTTGTTTTTGTTTTTGTTTTTGTTTTTGTTTTTGTTTTTGTTTTTTAACCCCCACCTTCTTCTTTTCTTCTTTTCTTTGCTTGTTAAACTCAATTTTCTTTTCTTCCGAACTATGACGTTTCGTTTATTTGAAGCGTCATTTATTTCAATGGATATATTTTTTTTTTTTTTTTTTTTTTTTTTTTTTTTTTTTTTTTTTTACACTATTTGTAAGAAGACACGTACGTCTTGAATATAAAAAGACTGCATAGGCACGGATGAACTCGAAGATATTTCAGTACTTTCGTCGATTTATTTTAAATGAGGTATCGACATTCGTAATGCGTTAAGTTACTACAAGTATAATTATTGTACATCTATTAATGGAGCTCGAGGCGTTTACACTTAATTAAGCACATTGTATTCATGGTTCAACACAATACATAATTTAGGCTTAGATATTTTCGGTACGATTGAAAATGGAGAAGAACAATTTCAAGATAGATATACATCATTACAAATGAGATATAATATGTTTCTTTTATTTATAATGTTGATAGAAATATTTATGGTTTGCGTGTGTTTGTGTTTGTTTTGTGTGCGCGTGTGTGTAATTTTGTCGAATGAAGAGCTTATTATAGTTTCTATCTATTGATTATGTTTATTGTATTTCTTTGGTTTTTGTTTTTTTTTTTGTTTTTGTTTTTTTGTTTTTGTTTTTCCTATCGAAAATAAAGCCAAAAATCGTCCAGCTACGTGAATATCAAATAATTCATTAATTATTAATCATTTGAATGCGCTCGATTGAATTGTAGCGCATTTAAAATATCGTATAAAAGCGTAAAATTATGATCTAAATGATCTAATTGTGACATAAATAATTATTGTTGTATCGTATCTACACCATCTAAAAATACATATCGCGTCAAAGTATTAATCTAATAACAAAATGATACATTAAATAATCGAAAAATGAGTTGGTAAGATGAAATGATTACTAAACTTGAATATTATAATCAGTCAAAGTTATGAATGTGTCGAGTGTAATAAAATTTATGAAAAATTTATATGTATTCACGGCAAGTAAAGAATAAATTTTACTTGTGTGCAATTTCTGATAAAGTATCGTGTCATTCAATGATACTAAAATATACTTTATTTCTTTCGTATTTTATTTTAATTAAATAAATCGTTTGATTTACTGCGTATATATATATATATATATATATCATTATTACATTTATATTATATCGTAGGATAGAAATAGATTATTTTTATTAAGCCATTAATATTACTGCTAATCTCTTTGCAATGAAAATACCTTATTTAAGAGATTTATTAGCAGGTTATCATTTAGAGTACTGTGAGATATATTTAAAGCATTTCATAATCATACATCTATAGAGTAATTCGATTAATTAGTCGATTATATATAACTAATTTTTATTGAAATTTGAAAGAAAAAGCGAACAATTATATAATTAACGACACTAATGCAATTCTCCATTTGAAAGTTCTATTTTGTACTCCAAAATAATCAATTTCATTCTTGGACAGTTGCATTTCATTCCTAAAACTTGACGTTCCCTCAAACGTGTCTTTGAATAAAAAAAAAAAATTATAATATACATCCTGTTAGAAAGCAGGCAATCTTTATCATATCTCTTTCTCTCTCTCTCTCTCTCTCTCTCTCTCTCTCTCTCTCTTTCTCTCTCGCTTTCTCTCTATTAACGATATTCCATTTTTCAACACAAAAGGAAGAGTCAGAGTCCCCTAGCCTCGGATTTTCGAAATCGCTTTCCAAGCCCAGAAGCCGAGATAATATATAATGAAAAAGGGAAAATGTTGCTCGCGCACATAGAAGCTGCGCAATATAGAGGGAGACGGGGAATTTGGTGCAACGACATAAGAACGAAATACGAGCGGAGATCACCGCGTGGCTGCAGCCTCTGGCGAGTGGCTAAATTTAAATGAAAGCCTCGAGGAAGGCACGCGTTGCATAATCTAGCAAGTGAACACGCGACACATCGAGAGGTCGACCGCCTTCCGCAAAGTCGATGCTTGCTTTTAATTTCTCATTTTTGTTGTCTTACGCACGTGAATGCTGGCTAAGCTCACCCGCTGCACAAACACTTTCTTCGCTCTCAACTTATCTTCATTTTCATTGTCTCGGGTAACTCTGCTTATATATCATCTTCGTATATAAGCGTAGCCATGAGAAAATTTACAACTCCCTTTATTTGCAGCTTCCTTTAATTATTAACCGACTAGATATTTCGCGGAATATCACGGATTATACTTTAAAAATGCCTATGGCTATTGAATATTTGTGTACATTGATATTTATTAGCACGACGAATTACACGGATTAGATAACTGTGTGCGGAGTGGTCTTTATATTTAAGAGATAGTAAATGGAAAGTTCAATGATACGCTCACATCAGTCTTGCATAATATTGGACAAAGTTGTTGTTTTACTTCTTCTTAAGTCTCTGTCTAGAAGAACAGAAGTCCCGCAATGCACTTTATCAGTGGAAATATATATTTCGTTAAATTTTACGCATTTATTATTTACTTGAAGAATTAGTGTTAATATTAGCTTGGTCTTCTCGAGTCATCTCGCATTCGATAATTTTCCAAATTTTCATTAGAAAAATATGTAATATAGGTGTTATGTAATATGAATACTTTATTAAAACATTCTCAACACTATTTAATAAATTTTACTCTTCTTTGTCTCTCTCTCTCTCTCTCTCTCTCTCTCTCTCTCTCTCTCTCTCTTTGATACATACAAATGTATCAAATAAATATCGTATTAAAAATTCTATCAATAAATTATTCAAATCACTGTTTTATATTTAAAGCAGGTTTATTTAAATAATCTAAAAATTATATAAAACAATATATATTGTACTTTATAATATTTCCCTACCTTCCAGTATTATTATATTTTAACTATTGAACTATTTCACTAGTAAAAAACAAACTATATATCAAGTAAATTTTTCAGATTTAATTTTGTATTCGATAATATTTTGATTATTATCATTAGATTCATTAGATATCAATGATATGATGTGATAAAACATAAAAGTGTGTTTGTGGTAAAAAATTGCAAAAAATCAAAGCGATATTTTTTTCGTTTTTTAGAAAAATGAAAATTTAATGTAGTTAGAATTTTCTGCGTGTATTATTATTGTTTATTAATCAACTTAATGATTTAACCAAAGCAGTTATTAAAATGCTCTCTCCAGCATTTAATCGTAATTACGAGTTTAAGGAATTTTAAAATGCAAAAGTCTATCTTTTATTGGACCGCTAATGCCAATAATACACGATGAATGTAAATTTCTCAGTAATGTCATTGTCATTGTCATTATCATTGGTCGTCGTTATTGTTAATGTTATTGTCGCTCAACGGGCTGATCTAGCTTTCAAATATGATTTTTTTTTATCTTTTTTTATTAAATCATTATTAAATTCAGCATATGAATTGCAGAGGTACCGGAATTAAAATTTATTTATCCGTCATCGTAGGCGACAGTATGAGGAATAAAAAGTGGAGCACTAATGGCAATCAAGTTGCGCAAGATGTAGAAATGCTAGAGAGAGAGAGAGAGAGAGAGAGAGAGAGAGAGATAGAGAGAGAGAGGTGTTGCGTAAGTCGAGCGAGTAGTGGAACGACGAAGTAGAAAGAGATAATAAGTAAGCGTTGGCACGCACCTGCTGATAAGGTGTCATCTGGAGAAGATCCCGTTCGTCAGCCGCGGTAACCTCGAACGTCGGTGCCGGTTGTATAGGATAAAGATTGCCTTTGCCCGGGTAGGAGGTGCTCCTGCGAAACTTGACGGGGCTAATGCTGGACTGATGGGCCGTCGGCCCGGGGTGTCCGGGAAACGTGGGGCTGGGCTTTCTACCCTGGAGGCCAGCGACCGCGGCTACAGCTGCAGCTGCGTGCAGATTCGAATGAAGGGGCGGCAGGTTGGGCACGGACCTGCCGCGGTTCCAGGGCGAAAGGGCTGGGCTAGCGGCGGCCGAGTGCGCCGGGTTCTGACCCCATTGCTGGGCCGTCTGGGGTCCGCCGGACCACGCGGCATAGCCCTTGCCCTGGAGATAGACACCCGGATGCGTGCTGTGTTGCTGCTGTTGCTGCTGTTGCTGCTGCTGTTGTTGCTGCTGTTGCTGCTGTTGTTGCTGCTGTTGCTGTTGCTGTTGTTGCTGTTGTTGCTGTTGTTGCTGTTGCTGCTGTTGTTGCTGTTGTTGTTGCTGTTGCATGCTATGACGATTGCCCGGTGCGGTGATGCCCCCGGTGTGGCCGCTCTGTTGGGGGAAGTTGTGGCTGGCTGTGATGGCTCGGCGTGCGCCTACGTTACCCGAACTGGCGAACAAACCGGCTGGACTACCAGTGGGAAAATTCTGAAAGGCCGCGATCGAGCCGTTAACGGGCAGCGCGTGGAGGCTCGTGGAGGTGTCGTCGGCCCAAAGGCTGGGCACTCTAACGCTCCCCTCGTTGCCGAATGCCTGGAGGCTGGTACCACTGCCACAGCTAATGATGGGATCCTTGTCGATGATGGTCGAGGAGGAGGAGGATGAGGATGTGAGGTTGGCGACGCTGACGGCAGCGCTAATGGCGATGCCCTCGACCTCGGTAATAATCTCTTTGCTCTTCTCGTTGCTGGGGTCCGCGACGAGGACGGTACCGCCAGGCGAGAGGGGCGCTGATTTCACGCTGGCGCCCTGCTGCTTTTCGATCAGCAGGTCGTCCTGCATGATGCTCGGATTGAAGACGGAGACGCAAGGAACGGGACTGCAATTCGTCACTGGTGAGAAGAGACTGGTGGCACCCACGTAATCGCCCATATAAAGGTGATGGTTCACTGTGCGCTACGTCACAGTGTCAAAATTTCGCGCTGGATTCGAGCGATCCTCGGGGAATCGAGCCTCGGTGGCTCGGAACTCGGATTTGGATGTCGATGAGCTCGCGTGCCTAGATCCGCGAAATCATTGGCGTCTCTGCCCCTCTTCTTCCTTATCTAAATATCCGAGAGCTTTGCACATGCGTGCGCGTACACGCGATATCCCTTGGATTTGTTTTGAAGAAGGCGTGCGGGTGCAGCCTTAAACGTAACAATAGTTGTATCCTGGCAGCACTTCGAGTTGCAGTAGCGGTAGCAGTAGCGATGGCTCTGTGTGTTGTCGTTATGATTGCTGTTGTTGCTACTGTTGCTCTTGTTGTTGTCGTTGTTGTTGTTGTTGTTGTTGCTGCCGTTGGCGTTGCTGTTGTTTTGGTATTAATGAGCAGCGATGACCGTAGTAAACAATATGGGATTATCTAGTGGTTGTTGTTGTTGTTGTTGTTGTTTAGTAATAAAACTTAGAGTCGTCGTTGTCGTCGTCGTCGTCGTATTAGTCGAGATCGTCGTCGTTTTAGTCGTCGTCGCCGTCGTCGTCGTCTTCGTCTTCGTCTTCGTCTTCGTCTTCGTCTTCGTCGTCGTCGTCGTCGTCGCCGTCGCCGTCGCCGTCGTCTTCGCCTTCGACGACGATATTACGGGTCGAGAGAGAGAGGGAAGAAGAGAGAGAACCATGAGCTTGCGGAACTATCGATCCAGGGGCAGTACGCTCATCGGGTGAGCTGGGCTTGTGCGGGTTAAGTAAGAGAGACAGACAAGCCCGGAAAAGCTCTCCTGACCCGAGCACACACACACACGGATGTATAACGCTCGGTATACGCGCACGCACGCACCCACACGGAAATTGGAAAACACCACCAGAGAACACACTGACACACTACGTGGGATAAGGGGGCCTTCGACCCTTTTCTCTCCCTTGCGTATGCTCGCTTTTCCTTATTTCCCTTGGCCTCGGGGCACCGCTGTTTTTCTCCCTTCCTTGGTACTTTGAAAGGGTCGTTGGTATGGGTCCGGGTATGGGGCAGGTTACGAGGGGGGAAATTATCAGGGGAGGTGGGTGGATGGGTTGGTGGGTAGTTGGAGAGGAGGAGGAGACGCTGGAAAATCAGAGTCTCTCGATCACCCGCTGTTCTTGCTAATCGAAGAACCGCGAAGTTCTTCTCACGTTCTGATTTCGTATACTCTTCCTTGTCTGACGTTTACGTAGCATCTTTGCATTGAGCTCGCATGTCTCTGCGAGCCGGCTGTTTTCCTCATAGGCCAAGCGACTTCGCGCTCATATGTGTTGTCAGTGTACAAATAGTTGCGATATCGACGATCGCCCGACCTGTCAACTATCTTCCCTTGGCTTAAAGTGCCACCACACGTATAACGACTCCTTGCCTCGTCCTCTCGACGTCTCTTCACCCTCGTACGGACAGTCGAGCGCAGTATCTCCACCGCTAACTGACGAACTTGCTAAATTGCTCGATGAACCACCGCATCGTGGCCCTATTATTAGCCCTACCTCTTGAAACCCCTTTCGCGCTCAGCTCCGGATATGGATTTTTTCTTTCTTCCTCCTTGCCACCTGCTTGTGTGTATTGCACTACTGGCACACTACATGCCAACACACGCACACGCTCACGTCGTTCTCTTGTTACCGATAGCCTGCACTCACGATACCGCGATTACGCGAACGCGAAAGGTGCACGCGCGGGGGGACGGAGTAAATAAAACAGAGAGAGAGAGAGAGAGCCCGCTTGCAACGGTATCAGTAGTAACAGCGCCAGAGGATGACTTCCGGGAGGCCGCGGCACTGGCGAGCCTGCGGCTGTCCTCCCTCGTCGATGGGGTCCACTTCGAAATTCGTCGACACCTCCTCGAAAAAAGCCCCGATAAAAAGTGTGTTTGCACGCGTTTTCCTCCACTAGAGTAATCTAATCTCTCGCTCCCTCTCACTCTCTCTCTCGTTCGTAATCGAGCTCGATGGATAAATAAAGAGGGAAACAGAGAGAGTTAGCGGATGAAGATTCACGAGTGGAGTTTTGATTTCGATAAAAGACGACACGAAGAAAGAAGGCGCGTGGATAAAGCAACTGCAACAGCAACAGCAACAGTAATACCACCACTACTACAAGCAGCAGCAGCAGTAGCAGGAGCAGCAGCAGCAGCAGCAGCAGCAGCAGCAGCAGCACAAGAGGAAGAAGAAGAGAAGAAAGGCCTGGAACTGACAGAAAGAGAGAGAGAGAGAGAGAGAGAGAGAGAGAGAGAGAGAGAGAGCGGGAGAG